TCGGCTGGTCTGGGAGCTGATTAGCTCTGGCATTGGGCTTTTCCTGAGCAGTGCCTGCAGCATCAATACTAATCCCTTGATTCCATTAGGGCTCCTGTGAATCTGTGGGACAAAGTCTATGCCTTCCTCTCTTAGGGCACTCGGGGTCCTGGATGACAGAGGATAATGCAAACAGCAGAAGCTTTCTTAACTCTCAGATTGATTGATGTTCACCATCCAGTCCACAAACCACACCGAGGAGTGCCTGTATGATGCCAGGGGATACCCTTCTCTCCCAGCTGAGCCCGTGTCCCACAAGAGTCAGTGATGCTCATTCCAGCCTGTTCTCGTCAGCCAGGCTTGTGAGCACCATCACAGAATATAATGTAAACCGTTGAAATACTGTGTTGAAATAAGTGTGTTGTATCTATGAAAATTTCATAAGATGGGTCTGGCAAAAAGTTCTACAAATTAGGTGAAGATTGGTGGGGAAAAAAATCATAAAAATTCCAAAGGATTCTACAGTCAGATTGCTCACCAAGTGTCCTTCAGCTCTTGAGTCACTGTAAAAATCAGACTGGGGAATCGCAGGCAGTGTGCTCAGCTGGGCTGCGTCAGAAGGTCGGCACAACCTCCCCAGTCCTCTGTCAACAGGGTGCGAGTGCTGAGGGCCAGCAGACAAGGGTAGTCTAGATTTTGGAAAAATTACCACGTATGGCACCATCCTGGGGAAACATCATTTGCACAAGGACCGGCTTACTAAGCTGAAGTGTATCACATGTTTTTATCAGTTTGAAAGATTCTTCACCCTAACAAACCATTCTGGTTAACCAATTAACTACAGCTCCCAATCTTACTGGGTAAAAAGTCTTTTTTTATACTGCAGAGATGAGTGACTTGGACAGTTTCTGAGCTTGTTTGAAACTGGCCACACATGTGCACACACAATCTTGGGAGCATTGTGCTCAGCACCCGTCACCTGCCTTGGGGTGAGCTGTCTGATCTCTCCTCCCCTCCAGACTGGGAGAAGCTTCCTCTCCAGCATTGCTGTATTGCCCACAGAATCCAGCACAGTGCATTGCTCGCTACAGATGCTTAATTAACATGTGTTGAATGAAATTAAACAAGCCCCCACCTTCGGGGACTAGGGCTATTGATGGGGCTTGCGTTGGAGCACCTGCAGGCTCAGAAGAAAGCCTTTCCTTGAGCCAGCCTCACACGCACACAACTCGGCTTTCTCAAACCCAGTCACTCCACCCTCACTTGCTCCACTCCAGCCTGGGATGATCAGAGCTTTCCCCTCTGAGTCGCAGCACTGCCTAGTTTCATTCATAGCCATGACACTCTAAAAACCACAAATTCCCAGAGAGGTTCTGCCAGACATGGCCAGTCTCCGTGGGCTTCTAGGCCCTTGAGTCAAGACTCAGTTGCATGGGAGGCTGTTTCATTGGCCCTTTCCCTTGTTCCTGGTCCAGTTGCCCACGTGAGCCCCATGTTCCTCACATAAGACGGTCCTTTCAGGGCCCTTAACCTCAGGTTGCTACAATGGCAGCACTCGTTGGAATGCTTCCAATCCAACCTCCCTTCTGTGAAGATGAGGTCATGGAGGGCACCAGCATGACCACATCCCCTTTTGGGAGGCCAGCCAGACAGGTGCAGGCTGCGGTCCTCCTGCCTCCATGACTACCCTCCGCTAGGCCTCCCAGGTCCCACCCAAGGTACAAACTTTGTCTCTATTTACCAGAGGGTCTGGGAATACTCATGGGCAAGAGGGTGGGGAGGCTCTGAGAACACCCTAGGGCAGGAGGGTGGGGAGGCTCTGAGAACATCCCATGGGCAAGAGGGTGGGGGGAGGATCTGAGAAAACCCCAGGGCAGGAGGGTGAGGGAAGTCTCTGGGAACATCCCAGGACAGGAGGGTGGGGAGGCTCTGAGAACACCCCCTGGGCAGGAGGGTAAAAGAAGTCTTCTTATATCTGTATTTGCTGAAGGAGAGAGGCCAGTGACACTGAGATGGGTCATAGACACGAGTGTTGAGTGCTGGGGTGGGACTTGAACAGGTACAGTCCTGAGCCCCCACACTCAGGCACAGCTACCCACAGCGTTTCCTGTCTCACCAAGATGCCCCCTGACCGCCTCCACCCAACTCTTCCTCAAGCACCACATTGTCTCCCTTGCCCCTGAACTTTCCTGGGCGTGGCCAAGACTCTCCTCCATCTTTGCGTTGATTCTTCTGCCATCCTGAGGCCCAGAAGCCATTGTGGCGTTTATGGTGGATACAGCCTGCAAGTGCAAGGAACCACTGCCCTTGTTGGCTGTGGAGGAGTGGGTGTCACTGGACATCCTTGCAGGCCCCTCTCAGACTGGACTGCAGATCTGGGGGCCGGTGCAGCTCCCCACCTGCCCAGGCCACCTGCCTGGCCCAGGCACCATTTCCTATGCCCCGCCCCCTGCTGGCCAGCTGGCTTTCTCCAAGGCTGGGGGTTCTCTGTGTTCTGCCTAATAACCGCCTGGTAATTAGCTCCACGAGTGTGCTACTATGCTTATAATAGCCTCCATTAAAGTTATGGGGTTTTCAAGCCATAATGGCTTCCAGAGTAATTAATGCACAACTGGGTTTATTGCTAAGTTTATTTTTAGAGCTTTTCTTCCTCTCTCCCCCTCCCTTTCCTCTCATAGATGTTTTGACCACAAAGACTGGATGGGATCAGAATGGTCCCTATGGTGCCCTTGCAGCCATGCCTCTGCCCCTCCATCTCTTCCCTCCCTGCCCTTCCTTCCTGCTCCAGCCTCCAGGCAGGTTCTGGGACCCCGCATTGAGGCAGCTGTCATGGAAGAGCGTGGCTCAGAACTGGCGTTAGTCCAGGCCAGAGACAGCATTTGGCCTGCATGGTCCCCTTGCCTACCCAGCGCCTGGCCCAGGTTCCAGGGGCCTTGGGGGCCTGGGACCTCTCATCCCATGATCATGATGACGGCATAGACCAGATGGCCTTGGTTTAATTCTGGCTCCACCGTTCCCTAGTCGTTGGCCTCAGGCATGTTACCCTCTTGGCCTCCATTAATCCAGCTGTAAAACAGGATCACAGTCATGCTTACCACATAGGGTTGTGTTGCAGGAGCAGGTGCATGTGAATGTTGAGCCTCATCTTTGGCCACCATGAGCACTGCAGGAAATCCTGCTACTAACTACAGCCAAGCAGACCAGTAGGAAGCTGAGCAGGCACCAGGGTGTAGGGCGGGCATGGAAAGCTGCCCAGAAGGAAAGGGAGCAGGAGCAGGAGCACGTCCAGAGCCGCCTTGCCAGGTCGGAGCTGGCATGATGCTCACCATCTCTCCTTGGATTCCTCCATCCTGGATTAGAACCCTCACCAAAGCCAGGGACACTTGAGAAAGCACCTTCAAGAGTCTCTGAGGATACAGAATAACTCTCCCCAGACATTTTTGAAGCCTCAGCCGGGCCTAGCCTCCAGTCACCCCTTCCTTCATCAACTGTGGCCTAAGATCACACCATGAAACACAAAGCCTTGGCACAAAGCCCTGCTGGAGGCCTGAGTGGGGGGACAGGGGAGAAATCTGGAGGTATGGGATAAAGTCTGCTTCTCACACAAGACCCAGCAGGTCTCCCAGTGTGGGGTGCTGGGCTGATGAGTTTGTAGGGAAGACAGCACCCACCGCCTAAAGTGACCACCCCTCCTGTGCATCCCGCTGTTGGTCTCTACTTGTGACACAAAACCCCAATGGGTCTTCCACTCCCCAGGGAATGAGTGAGGGAGGCTCGGGAAGGAGGATGCAGGCCAGCCCGGGAAACCACAGAGCTCTTTAGACAAATCCAAGGTGGCAGAATCATTTGGATAGAGGACCTGACAAGGAGAGGAAAGCATGCTATTTCTAAAACTCAGGGGTCAAAACCCCTGCTCAGTCACTGCGCAGACCTCTTCCAGAGGTGGAGACCATACACCAGGCGGGGCAGCAGCAGGTAGCATGGCCTCCAAGACGTTGTTGGTCCCTGTATAGCACAGGGCACTGGGGGTGGTAAGGGCCGACCAGGGCTGCTCCAGGCTGTACTCCCTCCCCTCCACCCTGTGGGTCCCTGTTGCATCTTCCAAGTGCTCAGCAGAGAAGGAAGGAGGAGAAGAGGATGTGACAACTTCCAAGGCAGTCACGAAGTCTCTTTACTTGTCATGCAAGAGATCAGGTCCCCAAGGAGATGCTGCCAGTGGGTCCTCTGCAGGATCCAGAGAGAATTCAAGTTGGGTTCATTCTGCTCACCTGGGAGATCTGCCACTGCCATTCTTGAGGACTCTCCCCTCTTGATGTGGCAGTTCCCATGGGAACCCCTTTCACACTTGGCACTCCATCCTGCACAGAGCGGTGCTCCAAGAGAATGCCTTGTTGACACTGGCCAAGGAAGGCTCTTGTGGGTCATGAGTGGTCATGCCCGGCCCTAGAACATCTCTCCTTTGTGGTCAAAAAATCCCCCTTCCAACTCTGACCCCTCTAACCAGGCTTTGAAGAAGGCTGTCTGGGCACCAGTGTTTGAACAGCATAGTGGCTGACATTTCTTGCCCACTTCCTGTCTCTCGGGGCTGTCCTAAGGGTTTGATGGGCATCACCTCATTTAACTCTGAGAACAGCCTTGCGAGGTATGTACTGATAAGTGCCCCCATTTTATAGGTTGGAAACTGTGCCATGGATAATTGACATGACTTGACTAAAGCCATACAGTCTGTGGGTGGCAGAGCTGGGATTTAAAACCAGGCAGGTGTCTCTGAAGGCTGAGCCCTTGACCCTGCACCCTACTGACTTTCATAAATGGATCATTGCCATGGCCTCATGCCTGTGGGAAGGACCAAGACCAATTCCACCCAGGCAGGCAGGTGGAAAACAGTCCTCTGGGGAATGGACAGTTGAGGCCCTGTTGTGAAACCCCAACACTGTGTGTCCCAGAGCAGGGCCTGGCCTTGCTGGATGCCCATCCCCATGCCCCGGTCTCTGGCTATCCTATGCTCCTCTGTTTTGCAGGTGTCCACCCCCCAGGGTTCCTGACCTCGCCCCTGGACAGCGATCCCTTCTCAGACTCCAGTCGGGCCAGACTCTTCAAACCTGCTTCCGCAATGGGTGGGTTGTGAACGCTGGTAAGACCCACTAGCCAATATTCGGCTGCTCTGTTCTCTCCATGCCTGGCCGGCCTGGCCCATGCCTGTTCTTTTCTCCCCTGTGCTGCCGCCGCCCTGTGGCCACCCCTCTCCTGACCTTGCCACCACTCAGGTAATGAGGAGCCGTGGGTGCAGCCAGCCTTGGAGATGCCGAAGAGACGAGACATCCTTGCGATCGTCCTCATCGTGCTGCCCTGGACACTGCTCATCACCGTCTGGCACCAGAGCACCCTTGCACCCCTGCTTGCCGTGCACAAGGGTGAGCCTGCCTGCCCGCCCCTCCAGCCCCAGCCTGGCTTAGGTCCCAACAGTGGCCACAACTAAGTCAGGGGTTCTTGTTTTCATTCACTAGGTAGTTAGGAAAAACCATAGGATCATCTAGGCCCGTGAGCTTACTCTTTGTGGGTCTTGGGTCCCTTTGGGAATCTGATGGCAGCCACCCACACACGTCTTAAGAAGTACCTGCAGTGGCTCAAGCCTATAATCCCAGCACTTTGGGAGGCCAAAGCAGGAGGCTTGCTTGAGTTCAAGACAGCCTGGGCAACTGTATCCTGTAACCGAGATACTGTGTCCAAAAATCGTAGCCTGAAGCTGTGCTGCTCTCACTCATCTTTATAAAAAAATTTAAAAATTAGCCAAGTATGGTGGCATATGCCTATAGTCCCAGCTACTGGGAAGGCTGAGGCAGAAGGATTGCCTGAGTTTAGGAGGTTGAGGTTGCGGTAAGCCAGGATGGTGGCACCGCACTCCAGCTTGGGTAAAAAAGTGAGACCCTGGCTCAAAAAAAAAAAAAATTACCCAGATGGTAGCTTGGCAGACACCAATGCAGGTGCCTTGAAAAAAGAGCCTGTAACTCTTAGGTCCCCAGAGGAGAAGGCAAACCATGCCTGTGGGGCCAGATGGGGAAGAACTGGGCTGGATCAGGAGGTGGGAGGAGTGAGAGGCAGGCCGGGTCAGGTCTTTAGTGCAGTTTTTGTCGGAAAGAAAGGGAGAGGTGTGGTAAGCAGCTGGGCAGGCTCAGAACAGGAGAGTTTGGCTGATTTTGGTGGGTTCTAGGATAGAGGGGTGGTTTCTGATTGTCTGGTACCTGGCCCTGGGTGGTTTAGGGCAGGAGAAGGAAGGCTGGCTTAGTTGAGAGAGCTTTGTGAAGAAAGGGGTGGGTTGTGGGTTCGGGGTTCATTGGTTTGTATGAGAAAATGTGTTTGCAAGCAATGTGTTTACTATCTCTAGGAGTCGACCAACCTGGTAGGTGCAGTTCCTCCCCAGGTCTGCAAGGCCCCAGATGTCAGAGCATCATGAGATACAGAAAAATGCTTTCACAAACCTGATTAATGTTTGATCAATCATATGATTAATCCACACACATACCACAGGGACACATATGCACAACTTTCCACCTAATTTCATGGCAAGCAAGGAATGCAATCACTCAGCACTGGGTGGGCAGAAATGGATTAGATTGCTGGCCTGTACTGTGTTTTAAAACTTTTCAAGAAAAAATTCTCTTTTGCCCCTCTTTTCCAGCTTAGGATTCCCTGATCTAGTCCTACCTAGTGGGAACAGGGCTGGAGGAGGAAAAGCCCCAGGAAGAACTAGTGGAAGAACTGGCAATAGAGTCGCCTTCTTCTAGCTCTGAGTCTTGGGATCACCTCTTTCTCTCACACTGGGATCCCTACACCCCAAACCTGCCATGCACCCACAACTGGTTGCCCCTCATGCCTTAGCCCTAGGCTTACACTCTCCTCTGTCTCTTCCTCCCACACATGCACAGATGCAGCATTGTCACAGGCAAACAACTATGCTCCCATTGCAATGTGCATAATATCACCCGGACAGCAAAATAACTGGGAGGTATCCAATCCCGTCTCAGTGAGAGAGGCAGTGGGTCTGGAGCAGGGCCTAAGAATCCATTGTATCCTGTAACCAATATGCCATGTCCAGAAATCACAGTCTGAAGCTATGCTGTTCCGTGCAGTCAAATGTTAGGTCTTGCAAACCCCTAGAAGTTCCTGAAGCTTCCATGAGAAAGGGCCAAGCTCAAGATTGCTGAATGCCCACTGCTTAGTATTGAGCACCTGGGGCCTCTCCTCCTGCCTCCAGTGCCTCTTTTTGATCCTCTTCAGTTTAGAATCATTGTTATCCTGCAAATTATTCCAAAGGGGTTAAAGCTTCTATACATAAAGCGACATGATGTCATGTCACCTGCGTTCTTGGTAGAGCTCTGGGCTGAGGACATCAGGCTGTCTTGCTAAGCACTGATGGTGCTGAGGCTGGGTGCTTGGCATTCTGTCTTCCCAGAGTATGCCAAGAGGAACCAAACGAAAGCTGCCTTTAAGTGAAGTTAGGGTCGCCAGGAGGCTGCTATGCCTCAAAGTTGCAGAAGCCCTGATGGCAGGAAGGGCAGAGCCCAGCTGGCAACTGAGTCCTCATGTGAGGGAAAACTTCTCAGGGCACAGGTCCTCCATGTTCTAGGGATGATTTGAGTGGTAGAGAGCTGAGCAAAGCTCTGTTTCCAAAACTTTTCTGACTGCAGAATAAATTAAACTTTATATCTGGGTCAAAATCCTAGACACCCATTCCTCTTCCCTCAGTTTGACTTAGAAGTCCTCCAGACCGTTGCCTTTGCTCAGTTGCATCTGTGCTGGTCTTGTGCCATTAGCCTGTGAGCACTCCCTGAAAGCCGAGGGCAGATCTCCTCCTGTGTGGGGCACACAGGCACCCCACACACCCCACATGCCACTCTAACAGTGGGGGGCCAAGGGGAGGTAACCGAATGGCCAATACAGTGTCCTCCCTGGGGCCACGCTCCAACCCTTCAGCATGACTTGCTCATTTTGTCCTTCCTGTAATTGCCTGAAGCCATGCAGAAATAGGGCTGGCTACTGCCCTTCCAAATGCATGAGAAAATGACAACTATGCCTGGCAGGGTTCTGAGCCCTTGGCATGTATTGACTCAATCCACATAACAACTCGATAAGGTAGATGTTATTATTAGCTCCATTTTATAGTTGACAAATAGAGGCACCAAAGTACATATAGTTAGTAAAGGCAGGACTGGACTGAGTCTGAGCCCAGGCATTTGGATTTCTAGGTCTGTTCTATGGCACCAGCCCCAGGTGAGAGTGGGCAGTGGGACCACACCATTGTTGGTGGAGGAGCCCTTCAGACAAAAAGAACTCGGAGGGAGGGCCTCATGGAAAACAGTCTTCTTGTGTTGGGCTGCTATATCCATACATCTTGACAACAATGGGCAAACTCTATGGAATAAAATGCACTAGCTAAATATGAAATTCTGCACCAAGATTCAATTAATCAATTACATAAGACCAGGAGGAGCCAGCCCCCACTTAATAGAGGGCTTGAAAGGTCCAGGGTGTGCCAGCCTCGGGCTTCCTCGGGGTCCACAGTGTGCTGCGGTGGCTATAGCACTAACTCTGGCCTCGGGCTCAGTGACATCCACACCACAGAGCATGGCAGTGCCACCGTGCTCTGCTGGCTGGAACCTGTGTGGAGCAGTGTAGTTAGGTCCAGCCAGAGGAGGAGGGCGCTGGAACGGGAACCTCCAGAGCTTAGTCATAGAAAACCCAGCACACTCAGGCCTGAGGATACAGTCTGGGCGACCGCCAACTGCACTCAGCTCCAGGGCTGCAAGTGTGAAAAGCAGTAAGAGATCACTTCTGTGTCCTCTCAGGCGTGAGAGCAAGGGAAGTCGCGGAGAACGTTCCTGGGATGCAGGTCTCATCCTCAGCCCTAACAGGCCAGCCAGGAGGTCAGAGGAGAGAGCCTTCTGGGAGGAGCTGGGAGCCAGGAAGCGCGGAGGCCGGGGATGGCATCCGTCCAAGAGTCTGGGGCCAGAGCCAGGCTACGCTCCTGTCCTCAAGCTGCCTATCTCCCCACTCCACAGATGAGGGCGGCGATCCCCGGCGCGACGCACCGGCAGGTGCGGACCCCAGGGAGTACTGTATGTCCGACCGCGACATCGTGGAGGTGGTGCGCACCGAGTACGTCTACACGCGGCCGCCGCCGTGGTCCGATACACTGCCCACCATCCACGTGGTGACGCCCACCTACAGCCGCCCAGTGCAGAAGGCCGAGCTGACGCGTATGGCCAACACGCTGCTGCACGTGCCCAATCTGCACTGGCTGGTGGTGGAGGACGCGCCACGCCGGACGCCACTGACCGCGCGTCTGCTGCGCGACACCGGCCTCAACTACACGCACCTGCACGTGGAGACACCCCGCAACTACAAGCTACGCGGCGACGCGCGCGACCCGCGCATCCCGCGGGGCACCATGCAGCGCAACCTGGCCCTGCGCTGGCTGCGCGAGACCTTCCCACGCAACTCCAGCCAGCCCGGCGTGGTGTACTTCGCGGACGACGACAACACCTACAGCCTGGAGCTCTTTGAGGAGGTGTGGAGGCCCAGGAGGGAGGGGTAGAACAGCCTCTGGGTGGGCTTCTCGAGCAGGCGCTGTGGTTAGGAGTGCGTGCACCGAGGAAACACTAAGAAGGAGTTCCCGGGGAAAGGGATGGAAAGTTGCAGAAACCGTCCCTCACCGGGTACCGGGCCAGGTGGCTGAAGCCCCTGAACCGCAGTGCTGGCCTTGAGCTATCGTCTGCATGTGGGCTTTGAGTGGACCATTCAGTGGGGCTGCCAGAGACTTCTTTGGTAAAACAGTTTGAGCTTCTTCGGGGTTTCTGAGCCATGTTGTTCTCGGGGGTGGGGGGTGAGGGGGTGGAAGGGAAAGGCCATTTCAGACTCAAAAGCGGGAGGACTGAGATTTTGCCCAAGGGAGAAATCAGCAGCAAGGTCGTGTAGAGAAGGTGAAGGTCAGCCAGTCTGGGCCGAGGGCAGGCTCTTCTGCAAGCCTAGTGTGAAATGGAGCCGGGGGCAGGCTGGATAGCATGACCCTGGATGGCCTCAGATGGCTGTGGGCATAACATCACCTCCTACAGGCAGGCGTCTGTCCACCAGCAGTTCTGATGTCCTGACTCTGGATCCCACTTACAGATGCGCAGCACCAGAAGGGTGTCTGTGTGGCCCGTGGCCTTTGTTGGTGGCCTCCGGTATGAGGCCCCACGAGTGAATGGGGCAGGGAAGGTGGTCGGCTGGAAGACGGTGTTCGATCCCCACCGACCGTTCGCAATAGACATGGCTGGATTTGCAGTCAACCTGCGGCTCATTCTACAGCGAAGCCAGGCCTACTTCAAGCTGCGCGGCGTGAAGGGAGGCTACCAGGAAAGCAGTCTCCTTCGCGAACTTGTCACCCTCAATGACCTGGAGCCCAAGGCAGCCAACTGCACCAAGGTAAGACCCTGTGCAGAACTGACAGCTGTGGTGCAAGTATTTCTAAGTCCATCCAGACCCTCCCCACAGGTCAGAGGAAGGAAATGGAGTCTCACAATAGCCTTTTCTTTCTGAAGCCCCTTCCCAGGCAGGCAGGGAAGTGGGGAGGGATGGCCATCAGGGAGTTACAGCCTCTCTCAGAGCAGTTGTGCTGCAGGACTTCTCTGCTGAGCACACATGTACACACACATATATGCACACACACTTGGGAGGTTGAGGGGCTTGTCTATTTTCTGTAGCTCTAGATTTCCTGTTTCCAGCAGATTTTTTTAATGTATCCATGTACAAATAACAAGAATGAGGGGGTAGGTGGAGATAAGGAACAATTGAGAAAAATCTCAATGGAACAAGAGCAGAAAGGGAGGAGCAGGAGAAATACCTGCAGAGTGTGGGAGGTGACTGGGCGGTGGCAGGGTGAGTGGGGACCTGCCCCATTCTGTTTTGTGTCTCTGGACACACAGATCCTGGTCTGGCACACACGGACAGAGAAGCCAGTGCTGGTGAATGAGGGGAAGAAGGGCTTCACTGACCCCTCGGTGGAGATCTGAGCCTCGGGATGCAGGTATGGGGATGACAAGGGTGGGCCACGCACCGGGCAGGCCGCAGCATAAATCTCCAAGGCTTCTCCCTAGGTCTTTCGTTGTGAGGACAGGGCAGATGTAGACAAGAGAGGAAGGCATAGCCCAAGTCCCCATCCCATTGTGCCACCTGAAAGTCACCAGGAGCCAACTTCCACCCATGCAGCTGGGCTGCCGTGATGCCTGCACCACCACCCGGCCGCTGCTTGATTCACTCACTAGGTTCTGCCCCCTTAAGTCTGCCTCTTCCCCTTTGGGTCCTTCATCACGTGTCTGTGTGTCTGTGGCAAGGGCTCTCAGACTCATGGCTCCATGGCAGTGAACCCGTGGCTCCCTCAGTGAGAGGGCAGCACATGGTGAGCACAGACCCAGAGTCTGCTGTGACTTCTGGGCTGCCCACCTTTCACTGTCTAGCCTTCCTTTACTTCTCTGGGATTCAGTTTCTTCATTTGTAAAGGGTACCGAATCTGTGACACATAATTAGGTCCCATATAAGTGTTGCTTTTTATTTGATTCTTCCAGCGCTCGCTCTCGCTCTCTCTCTCTCTCTCTCTCTCTCTCTCTCTCTCTCTCTCTCTCTCTCTCTCTCAGTAGGCAACACTCTAGAGGTAAAGAAATGATGTTCAGAAAAGCTAGATGACTTTCAAGGTGACACATTGGCACAAATGAATTGTGCTGGGGGATGGGCAAAGCCAGGAGTTTTCAAGGTGCTTTCTGTGAACTTATCCTGCCTCTTAAAAGCATCTCTTACTCCTGACTCTTTGCTCTAGGTTATGCCAAGCAAAGGTGGAACAGACGTTGGGACATTTTTCCCATGGCCCTGGAGCTAGGCAACAGCTTCTGTATCATGTTTGCAGCTCCCCTGCCTATAGGAGACCATGAGGTGTTGTGGTCTGCCTTTTGTGTCCCACGAACTTAAGAAATCACCTTGGCCAGCATCACTCAGAATACACCCCTATAGAGTCCCACTCCTTGCCTCCTGTCCCACTGGTTCACTGGAAGCACCTTCCCCACCCACCTCTCAAAAAGGTCTCCACCGAGCACACTGGGACCTGAGCTCTGAAGGACTCCTGATGGCCCACTAGGGGCTCAGGACTGAGTGGCTTGGCCATACTGGCTGCTCCTTCCCAACCCTGCCCTGAGCTGACACCTCACTCATTCCTCCTTTCCCCTCACAGGAGCCTCCTCCTCAGACCTTGTTCTTGGCCTTCCATCCTCTCCCCACGGCTGATGGTCCCTCCAAGGCAGACTCCTAAGGAACCACCATCACCCTCCTTTCTATTCTGGGGCTTTCGAGAGAGCCCAGCCTGATGCCAGGACCAAGGACAGAGAATCTAAGCACAGAAATCCCAGACCTGTTCTCTCCATCCAACGTGGCCAGGGCCCAAGAGACCCAAGGTGGGGTGGGGGGGGCCAGCTGCCAGCAAGGCTGGTGCCTCAGCAGGCCTCCTCAGAAACTTCCTGCACTGATGGGGCTGTGGGAAGAGATGCTGCAGGCACCCGTACCCGCTCTGGAGTGATGCAGGGCTGGGAGGGAGGTGAGAAGAGCCCACAGAGAAGTGGAGTGTGGCCCTCCCTGCTCCCTGCTCCTGGGCCCGCTACAACCATACAGGACACCCTGCCAGGGAATTCTGAAGACCAGAGAGCAGAATGCCTCACCCTCCTCGGCCCCTGCTCTTCCTAAGAGCTGCTCCCAAATCAGACATACCTCTCCGGCTCTCCTCTGGTTCATGTTTACAGAGCATAAGGCTGTCTTTGATCCCAACAGGCACCAGCCCTGCATGGGGGGAGCCTGGGCCTGCCAACAGGCTCCTCCTGTACCTCAGGCTGCGGCAGGAGCAGAGTTCCTTCCTCTGGCCCCTCCCCTCACGCCTTCTCCTCCAGCACTGACAAGGAGGTGAGCCCTACAGCCAGCACAGGTCACTGCCTGGCCTGGACTAAGAACCCCGCGATCCCACTGTCCACACACTGCCTCCCCACCGCCTACCAGGCTGCGGGGCCCCTCGCCTGGACTGGACCCGGGAGGGGAGATGCCCTCTTCCTGCAGCCCTAGAAAACCACAGACCTCAGTGCTGGAGCAGTGATGGGCGAGGTGGAGCTCTACAGCCTGGAAAGGGAGGGAGGCCAGGGCAAATCACCAACTCCTTCCTGCCCCTGGTCTTAAGGAGGAGAAGGGCTTTGGGATAGCAGAGGGATTTAGGGAAAAGGGTCAGGGATTCACTGGACACTGAGGGGAAGGAGACCTGAGCACACACCGCCTTGAAATTATTCCATGTCAAACACAAAAAATGGGAAAGAAAATCTTACTTCTCCCTAAGTTGGGAGCATGCAGAGCCAGCCCACTTCATGTTCAGCTACCCCCTCCCCACCCCAGAGAAAGAACAGTGTGCCACAAGCTGTCACTTTGCCCCTTTGGAAAAAGCATCTTCCTGGGTCTCCCAGGCAGCTGGAGAGGTCCTTGGCTCTCTCTGACCCAGACAGGCCCTCTGGTGGCAGTCTCACTCATGCTCCTGCAAGTTGGAAGCACAATTTTTCTCTCAAGTGGAGGAAAAGGAAAGGGCCTGAGCCTACTGAAGAAGTGTTTATTTTTTAACTGCTAACAGCCCCCACCCCATTAAAACTCACAGGACATGTCTGAGGGCCATTCAGAACTCACTCCTGGGTGGGTGGGACTCAGAGACCTAACATTCAGAATATAGCATCAGTTGCCCATTTTGAAATGGATTTAATCTCCCATGATATTCATGAAATCATCTGAATCAGATCCTTGAGCCACCTTTCAGGATGTTTTCCCCAACCTCTTACACTTTGGATGTCGCTTTGGAATCAACCCCTTGGAATTCAGTGGGGTGTCATGGGAGAGAAGGGAGGAGGCAGCACAGGGCAGCCATCAGATGAGTGAACTTATACGTAGGTACTCTACTGTCTCACTCACGGAAACCAGGCCTGATTGCCAAGTTCAGCTTGGCTGTTGTGAGGCCATCTTCTTAGCCAAAAGCCCAGGGTTCGTTTCAGGAAATTAATAACAACAAAATGGGGTCTTTTTTGGCAGATGCCAGGTCAGTTGTTTTCACCTAATACCCTCTTTTAGCTGCATGTATATTTATTTATAATTATAATCCTGGTGGACTGCAGCCTTCATCTTTGTTGGGAATGAGTTTATTATAAATCAGAATTGGCCATATGATGACGATTGCTTTCCAAACCCAGACTGTTCCCACTCCCTCACTGGCAAACCCCACCACGCAGGAGTGAGGCTAGGGGGCTAGGAGTTCTGAGAACAGAGACTGGGGTGAGGGTGGCACCCAGGCAGCTGCATCTGGTCTGTTTTAATTTAACTGTATTTAATTTGCTTTCAAAATTAAAAGTCAAATATGGTTTTTAACAGTCCTAATCCTCTTCAGACCTGCCTTATTTTATTCTCATTTATTAATTTAACCCTCCAACAATTATTTATCAAGTGCCTATTATCAGTAGGCGTTATTCTAGGAGCTAGCACACAGCAGTGAACAAACAAGGCCCTAGTCTTCACAGAGCTGACTCTAATAAGAGGAGATGGACAATAACAAAATAGTATTCCAGATGTGGTCTGCTGTGAGAAGGGAGTGGAGTCAGGGAGATAGAATATATCAGTGCAGAGAGAGGTTGGTGCTCTATAGGGTGATCAGAAAGGCCTTCCTGATAAGGTAACATTTGAGCAAAGCAACAACACTCCTACACACAGCTCCCTGGGTCAGAGTATTCAGAAAAGAGAGAACTCTCCCCTGGGTATGAGAGGGTTGGCTTAGCATGCTCTTAAGTCAGCAAAAAGGCCATGTGGCTGTAACCTGCTGGGCCAGGGAAGGGGGAGCAGTGGTGGGAAATGAGGTGGGTGTGAGGAAGAAGGCCCAGATGTGTCAGCTCTAAGAACCACGGTAGGTAGAGCTTTGGCATCTACTGAGTGAAACAGGAAAGCAATGGAGAATTCTGTACAGAGGACTGACATGATCTAATCCCTTTTAGAAAAGCCACCCTGCTTCCTGTGCTGATGATAAATGGACTGGGCACAGGCAGGTGGGGAGGCGACTCCTGCAGTCTTCCAAGCCTGGGGTGATGGTAGGCTGGGCAAGGGCACACACTTCAGGGCAGAGAGAAGTGGCTGAATTCTGTATGTGTTTAAGAGGTAGAGCCAGGAGGATTTGCTGATGGATTGATGTGGGAGACAAAAAGAAGTCAAAAATAGTCTGGGACACAGAAGAACAGAATTCCCATTTCCTGATACAGAACAGAGTACAGGAATGGTAACATGGGAAAAATTGAAGTTCCATTCTGGGTGCCTGCTAGACACCAGCAGGACAGCAGGTACGGGGACAGCTGCCCATATACCTGGAGCTCAGGTGCAGACCAGCATCAGAGGGTGTTAGTGTTGGGGATGTTTACAAAGCCACAGGTGTCACAGGCGGGACCCCATGTGATGAGTGTGAACAAAGGAAAAAGGCCCAAGGAGCTCTAGCATCCAGAAGTTGGGCCATGAGGAGGGATCTTCCAAAGAGACTAAGATGAAGCCATATAGTGTGGAAGATCTGAACAAATCTTTAGTCAACTCTAGAGAGTAAGCTCTACCAAGAGGTGCTTTGATAGAGAAGCCACAGGGTTAACTGCAGACAAGAAGGACAAGAATGAGAAGTTGGTACAGAAAAACCTCACCTTAAACAGCCAGTGCATTCCTGCTCAGGTCTGCTCAGAAGTGTGATTCAAGATTCTTCTTCACTTTACAAAAAGATTTGCAGTAAGGCTCCCTTCAATTCCAGTTCACCGTTCATTTATTAATTTAACCCTCCAACAATTATTTATCAAGAAGAATCCAACTCACACTGCTTTACAGAAGCACACTCTTATGTAAACCGAGGCCTAGGCCACACCTGTGTAGCCCTGGTGTCATCCATATCTTAACCCTATGCTTGCCATTACAAGGCAATTCTGGAAAAACAAGTGAGTTTGGGCAGAACTAGGAACTGTGCCCCCATCTTGCTGCCCAGCCACTGTCCACAAGCTTTAATAAACTCCATTTGTCTTCCAGTGGGCTACCTGAGCCCAGTGTCCATGATTGTCTCAGCTCCTGGGCCCAGTGGCTACATACCACGAATGTCCCCCCAGTGCAGCCAGTCACAGGAAGCAAGCTTGCTAGACACAACCCAAAAGCCCACTATTCCCCACTCGTCTACTGCTCCCAAAGCATGCAGTATGCTGGAGGTGTGTGTGCTATGTGACTGACTGTTATTGAAGATAATTCCGTTTTGGCAGATGTCAGATGTAATCTGTGAAGCAAAACTCCCCCCGTAGCTAATTATTGTATAGTGCCCTTGGCTGTTGACATTCTTACCCCCACCTACCAACACTAGAATGGATGTGCATTTGACCTCTCCTCTCCAGGGGCACTTCCAATCCAGTGTCACTTCAAGGGAAATCAAGGAAAGATGGGGTGGTAAGAAGCCAGGGCCATGGACCATCCACCCCTAGGGACGGTCAGTGTCTGGACCCTTGAGCGGCAGCTGGGATGAATGTGAGCCTGACCCAACTGCCTTCTCCTCTGGCTTAAAGTGGCATATGCAAGACCAGAGACGTATCACCAAAGAAGGTGTGCCTCAACTATATAACTTTATTGCAATTCAGACAGCGAACCTGAGCCAAATCATTGGACTTGATCCCCAGAATGACAGTCGTAAATTTGGACATGGAACAACTGTGAAGGAGGGCCTCTCCTCGCTGCTGCTTGGGTATGCGAGCAGAGGGCAGGAGCTGAGCTGGAGGCAAGTCCTGGGCTAGGCCTGCAGCCCTGTGGCATTCTCAGGGACCACCTGCCAACATCACTGAGTGGGGTCTTCTGTCCTCTCCCTCCCTGGATACTCAGACAGGGGTTGTGGTTTCTGCTGGAGTCCTCAACTGATGCTTCCTCCCACTGAGTAAAACTGGAAATACTCGCTAACTCAGAAAAATAAGTGACTGAGTATTTGTTTCTCAAGCTCAGCTTCTTATCCTGTCAGCTGCAGCGAGAGTGGGAATGGAAAGGAGAAATCACAGGTGTTTCTCAAGTGGAGTTTCTTCCAGAATCTCAGAGAAGGCTCAAGGAGGATGTTGTAAAGAAAGAACAACATAGTCTTAGGTGAGACACCCTCCCCTTCCCTGTCCTCTACAAATAGTGACACACTCACAATTTCAGGAACAAAAAGTGGTCATAAGGGATGTGGCCAAGCCCTGCCAAGAACATGGAAAGAGTGAACCTCAGTCCCCACAGGACTCTGATTTCTAGGGCAGGGGTGACACCTAACTAGTTTCAGCACTTTTTCTGAGGGCTCCAGGGATTCATGGCTTGGCCATCTGAAAAACCTCTCCCACCCCCAGAGAGATCCTTCAGGGCCCTCCCAGAAGAACAGGGAAGTAGGAACAAAGCAGAGAAGCTTTCTAGGCATGAGACCCCTCCACGCCATCCCTCCTCTTTAGTCCTCCCAGGTTTCAGTCTTTGAATGCAGGCAGGGGGCAGACTGGAGCCCTTGGTCCCTGGGGTTGCTACTTAAGGAGACTCCCCTGCAGGAGAAGATGTAAGGGAACAGCACGGCTGGCTTTGAGTCAAGTGGAGGAGGTAGCACTCTCCTGTGTCCTACCAGCAGGCGGGGCTGGGCAGCGGCTGCTCACTTAATGTACCGGTTCCTGCCTAGGTGGGGGGTTTCAGTGGACTGTATCACTGGCCCTGCCATCCTCTCCTCAAAAATGATGACCTGTGGGAGAAAGGGCTGGGATGTGAGAGCAGCTGAGTTTGTTCTGGGGCCAGATGAGGGTGCTATGAGGCATCAGGGTAGAAAGGGAAGGGTTTGGGAACCAGGCTAGAAGGATCAGGGACCAAAAACTCATCAGCACCAAGGAGGAGGCTGGCTGAAACTTCTGACCCCTCCTTCATCCTGACCAAGGCTTCCAAGGACACATTTTGATGCCAGGGAGGGCGGGATGGGCCGGGAGTCTTGGGGAAAAGGGCAGAAGGCTGGAAGTGGTCCCACCTGGTTGAGTCCTTTGTCCAACCAGGGACCTGGGAGGTAGAGGGTCTCCTGGGGTCCAATGTTCCAGTAGCGTCCAAGGTTTTGACCATTGATGAATACAACCCCCTTCTCCCAGCCCTTCAAACAGAGTAGGAAGGGTATCAGTCTACACAGAAGCCACAGAATATAGAATTGCATTGAAAGGCAGAGATGGACACATACTATGCATTCTTCTCCCAGGTTCTTAGAGGCCAAACTGAGTCAATTATTTGACAGCCATGAAGGTTAATGGATGGGGTATTCTGTCTCTTGTCCTCCCAGTTCTGAACTTCCAGGCAGGGCACCCAAGCTCGGATTGTATATAGAAACCACTAGGTGGTTCTTCCCTGGCCCAGGGACAACCCCAGGGTCCTTTCAGACAGGGAGACTTTCTGGGCACAAGTGCTATGGAGGGCTCCAGCCAGGACAAGCACAAGTGGCTTTCCACTCAGAGCCTCTGGGAGATAGATGGGAAAGTCTGGCAAGGAGAGTGGTGTCTACAAACCTCCAGCTTCAGAAAGGTGTCAGAAGGGGAGAGGCCAACTGACAAGCTACTCAAGAAGAAAGCAGGGAACGTAGGCACTTCTGGGAGAGAACTCCATTTGTCAATGCTGAACCTATGGACAGAACAAGGGGCAGGAAAGGGAAGGAGGCACTTTCTCATATCTGGTTCCAGTCCTGCATCTAATTCCTAAGGCGCATCCCTTCCCCAACCAAGGACCCCAAGTCCTCCTGCCTCTTAACCAAGGCACTGGAATGGCAGTCAGGTGGGATGACAGGCATTCCCTAGTGTGCAAACACAGGTTCTAGTGCGGAGGCTGCTCCTAACCCTAGGCCAGTTGCTCTGGCCTCTGGGTGAGCTCCCTCCTCCAAAAGGTTAGCTGGGTGTGGCTTGAGCCTTGCTCTGGGCGCTTCCCAACTCCTGCCTCATAGTACCTCTGAGCTCATATGTTGGCACGGGGAAGGGACCCACCTCTGAAAGAAGCTCTTTTTCATATCCAAGCTGTAGATTCTGAAGTTTTTCAGGGGAGAACCATTCAAAGAGAGATTTCCAATTAAGCCTGTAGAAAGGAGGCAAGAAAACATGAGCAAGCCCAAGGTCAGGGCAGCTGACCCAGTCAGACCAGGGCCATGCATGGAAAGTTCCAGGGAACCTCAAGGGAGGACTTCTCCTGAACTGTATCCTCCTAAACAGTTCTTGGAACAAAACCTCCCTAGAAACCCCAAGGGGAAGCGAATGAGGACCCTAGGATTTGCCATGAGAGAAGAATATGTGTGACAGCAGTGACAGCTGAGGTGTCACAGGGTAAGAACAGCCACTGGTCTCTCCCTGAGGGAAGCTCCA